CACATCAGCTTTCCAAGGGCATCTCCACTGCAGTTACCAGCGATTGGGGTGGGAGATCTGAGCGTGGAGGAGCTGTATAGATCGTTTATTGAGTCCTGCTGCAGTGCAGAAATTTGATTTCTTAAAGCATAAGCTTGGGTTGTTAAATGAGCTGTCTTTGTTTCTCTCCATGTCTTAGCTCGGGCAGTCCATCGCCTATTGGAAAACCGTCACCATGGTGTCCCCTGGCCATCCACAGTCTACCCTATTACACAGCTGACCAATTCCATCATCAAGAGGGTGAATGAGGCCTCAGGCCTCTACCAGATGTTCAGTGTCCTGGCTGACATCATACTGCTGAGAGAGTGAGTGAGTAATTATTCCCAGCACTGCGCTCCATAGTTTCATTTCTGTTTCTTTACCATTGCTTCCCGTAGTGCCACCACAAAAATTGCGCTGGTCCTGCCTAAGGATGTTACACATCACATAGGCAGCCATCCCAAACCTGTACCACTGCTGCAACTGATGCCCAGTTGTGCAGACTGTTTATCCCTGTTAAAGGGCTGAAATGGTCCAGACCTTCCCTCTAGGATCAGAGATAGTAGTACTCTTTTACTGACCCCAGGGGAAAAGCTTTCCTTGAGCGGTGCTACTGTAGAGAAAATCCCATAATCCCATGAAAACAATGGTGTCTGTAACAGTATCTGCAGCCTTTATAAGCTCTGCATCAAGTGCAGCCCAGATCTGTAATGACCAATCAAAATTGCTATCTTACGACTTTTTGGCTTTAGTCTTGACCAGCTGAGGGTGGGTTGGATCCCAGCTGGCTTTTTCTGGTGGAAAATTCCGATGGTGTGTTTGCAATTCACAGGAATGCCACAGCATTTGAGTACCTGGAAGAGTACCCTATTGGAGTCCTGGCTGAGCTGGAAATGCAGACAGGAAGAAAGGCTGGCAGTGGGCTCTTTGTCATCATCATGGAGTATGGGAAGAATTTCTCTGGGGCTGACAAGGATGTCTTCTACTACAACCGTGCTGTGGGAGAGGCACAGCATGCCTGGCAGTCTAACTTTTTACACCCTGTTATTTACTATTACAAACGCCTCCCAACAGGTAAGCTTTCCTGCTAATTACAACCAAAACAAAGAGGGATAAAAATAAATCGGACCCCAAGTGGGGGTGACATCTGAAAGCACTGTTCCCCCTTCCTGTGAGCCACCCCCCACCACTCAATGAGCTGAAAAGGAAGCTGAGAGTTAGCGAGGAAGTTCCATGGGTACGTACGGTACAGGGTGTGGGGGGGTTGTACCAGAGACCTTGTGTTTGAAAACAGGAACAAACACGTGCTGGAAATTTCCCCATGCCCAAAAAGAGGAACAGTTCTTCCCTTTGGCTGACACCCTATGTGTGTTTTGGAGAGCCTGACAGATGAGGCTGGGCTGTTGTTTGGCCATCTTGCTGCCAAGAGAAAGCTGCTTTCTGGCAGGCCCAGGTCTAAGAGTTCACACAGACATAGAGACAGCCAAAGGCAAGGGTTTGAAGAGGAGTATTCTGTCGAGCAGCAAACAGGCTTGAAGTAGACTTCCTTGGGAAATGAGTGTGTTGAAATCCTCATCTCCAGAAACCTAGGGTCAGGGTGCAGCTTGCCTTACACAGAAATAAGCATGATGGGTAGCAACACTAAATGCAGCTTAGCCCATCTGGCAGTCCCTGCCCAGGGGGAACAGGAGTGAAATGACAGGAATGCTACAGGCAGGGACAGAGGGCAGCTGTGCAGTGGCAGGGCTGTTGAGGACAGAGCTGGCAGAGGGGATTTCAAATGAAAGTTACGGATTAAAAGGGAAGGACAAAAGTGGAAGGACAAAAGTGGAAACAGCTGTCACAGCTGCTTTCTACTCCCCAAGTTCTTTTTAATGCCATTTTGCTTCTAAGAGACTATGTTAATGTTCTCTTGGCAGAGCGTGAGATGAGACTCCGTCCCCCAGATTGGCCTCTGCCCCGGCCAGATGCCATCCATCACATTGTGGAGGACTTTCTGACAGACTGGACAGCCCCAAATGCTCACATCCTGCCACTGAGGCGGTTTTTGGAGAACTGCCTCAGCACCGACCTGCGCAATTTCTTTGCAGGTAATTTGTGCACAGGGTAGAAGTGGCAGGAAGAGGAGGGAGGAGTGTGAGGAACAAGTCACAGAAGTGATCTTCTCTGCAAATAGCTGAGATGTCCCTGTGGTGAGCTGCTCGTCTCACTGTCAGTCACACCACCTCAATGCACTCACCAGATGGTACAAAATGCTGTTCTGTGTGTATATTCCCAGAGTCCTCACTCTTGTTCACCATTAGAAAAAGACTGGCCCAGGCATGCCAGAATTTATAGAAAGGCATGTAAGGTTGGGTTCCATCCTTTTTCTAGCTGCAGCTTTCCTTTCTTCTTCATTATCTGAACATTTCTTTGTGTAGTAGAGAATTTCCTTCTCTATCTCTCATGTACTGGTGATTGGATTGCTTGTCCATGGGAAATAGAAGTGCTGTGATGTGAGAGGTGAAGAGCCTGTGCTGCCTCCCTCTTTGGTCTTAAGACCAGTGTGGGACCCTCCTGCAGGAAGCCCGTGTGGCACACAGAGGGAAGCCATCTTGTAGCACAAAGAAGATGCCAAAAGATGCAAGCTCAAATCCAGCTCCTTTTTCTCTGTGTGCAGACTGGGCATCCCTCTATACATCTCCTGAGCTCTGCAGAATTAAGTCAATTACTGTGCTGCCACCTGAGGCAGGGTACCGGGTGGGAAACTCGTCTTCCCTCATCCTCTCTGCCTTTTGTTTTGAACAAGTCCCTGATAGTTTTTGGGAGTTTTTCCCTATAGGGTGTCTCCGCTGACTATAATTTTTGATCCTTTCCCCTGCAGAGTCATGTTTCCTGTTTGCCTTCACCCATCAGAAGCTGCCTCCCTCCTGCCAGCAGGGGTACATGAGAAAGCAGGGACTGCTGGGGAGCCAGGAACTCCTGCACCACGCAGTACAGGCGGGGTTGCTCCAGGATTACAGTCACACAGACTTTTCGGGTGACAGACCCTCTGAGAGCCACGATGGGTCACAGGAGCAGTTGATGAGAGATCATGGGATACCAGTTCGTCCTCTGCAGCATCTTGTTAATGCCAAGGATGAGCTTTAACCTCTCTTGCTCCACACTGAAATCCATAGGTGCTCTTGTGACAGTACTGTAACAGAGATCCATAGTAGGACTTTGCCCTTTCCAGCATCCCTATTTCCATCCCCATGCTTCCCACTGATTGTGAGTTGCCAAAGACCTGCTCAGATCTTGCTGTTACAGAGAGGACCAACATGCTCTGAAGGATGGAGTAAGGGACCAAAATCCAGTACTGTTGAGGTTCCCATGTTGTCCTTGCAGAGTTCAGAGTTGCCTGAAGGTGGTGTTTGTGTTTATCTCACTGACCAGTATCTGCAGTGATGTACAGAGGCCACAGAAGTGAGTGCAGGAATGCCTGGGAAACTTCAGATGTCATGTCCCCCTTCAGAGGTGACCTGCTCACACCCTGTGGCAGCCCAGTGCTGCCTCCCTGGTCCCTGGATGCCCCCACACTGTGTAAACTTGAAGATTCTTTTCTGCATTGAATCCTGAAATGGTACTCCAGGCAAACTTCCTGGTATTTTTCCTGCATTTGAGTTAGGGCAATTGTGTAGTTTGAGTGAGGAAAGATGATTTTTTTTTTTTTAGTTACTGTATAGGTCAGATAATTTATAATTTCCCAGAGTACACTACAAGGGACTCTCCTCCACGATGGATGAGTAGCTTGCTTGGAATGCCTGGGACACAGAGACTTAGAGTTTGGCTCCGCTGTCCTCATGTTTTTCTTCTCCCACACCAAGCAGCCTGGAAGGTTAGACTGTCTTTTATAAAGCATGACCAATATTTCTCCTATTTGCACTATGTCCTATCAAGAAAGTTTGATGATGTTAAAATGCTCCTTAAAATGCCTCTGTTTTATTCCCCTCCAGTCATCTTGAGATCCTAGAGGGACTGATAAGGAGGCTGTCTGCACTTTACTGCTCCCTCTGTGAGCCTGTCACCTCCGTCTCCATGACTCCTTCCATGGGCCTAGAGTTGTAATGCAAGAGCAATTTTGAGCTTGACCTCATGATGTCCTTGTGATTTCTAGGAAATAGAGGGGTGACAGGGAACAGGCTTTTATATCCACACATTTTCCAACCCTTTAGCTCCTTGAAAAATACACATTAATGCTTCTAAACCGAGAGGAGCTGTACCTTACATGTACCTAGAGCCCTCCCAATCCTTTGAATTCAGCTGCTCTTTCAGTAAAACCCCAGTTCCTTGGAGAGGCTGGGGAGCAGAAGAGGTCAAGGGAGTGACAGGGGAGTTCTTGCTCTCTGAGAATACTGGCCTATACAAGCAATGCTGCTGCTGGAAGGTAGTGCCTGTTCATATGCAGCTGGAGAGGGTGGTATGGGCCATGCTGGTTTGTGGTCACCCCTGAGTGCAGGGCTGCAGGTTGGTCCCGACGCCCTGCCCGGGTGGGTGCGTTGTGGAACAGAGTTAATTGCTCTCTTAGGGGATTGTGGAGCTGTACGTTTCCAGGAAAGCTTAAAATAAGCAGGTGAAACAGCGGCCCTTTGCGCAGCCTCAAGCTGAAGAGAGGGGGCAGCCGGGCCCGCGCCTCGGCTCGCGCGGCGCCCATCGGGGGGCTCCGCCGCCAATCAGCAGCCAGGGTTTGTCCCACGTGGCACTCCCGTCCTCCCCTCAGGGGCGGAGCGAAGTGCCCTAAAGGACAGGCACGGCAGCCAATCAGAGGTCCCGGTTCATGGGGCTGCTGCCAATCGGTTGGGAGAACGGCCGGGCCGTTTGCAGCATTTTTCCGGCGGCGGCAGCCAATCAGTGCGGGTGGGCGGGGCGGCGCGCGGAAGTTCGGTGTGTGCGGGTCACCTCCGCGCCCGGGAAGGTGCGGGCGGGACGCGGGCCCGGCGGGCGGAGCAGGGCCCTCCCGGCTGTGCCCTGCTGCCCTCGGGCTCGGGAAGCAGCGGGGCGACGGCGTCTGGGGCTGTTCTCCCCCACAGGGTTGGGACCGGGGGGGACTCTGTGCCACCTGTTGGGACGTCAGCTGAAGGAGCCCCGCGGTATCGGAGCAGTGGGACTCCCGCTGCCTGGGTCTGCCCTGTGGGAGGCGAGGAACGGGCGGTGGGGGCAACGCTGCTCTGTAGGGCTGAGGGAAACGGGACCCTGTGCCTGGAGCCGTCTCCTGTAAATGGGGAGAAGGCGGGGGCCAGCTGGAGGCCCCGTGGCTGTGGGGCAGGGGCTGGGCACAGGGGCAGGAAGCATTCCCATGTCATGTCCCATAAGCTTCTCTCCTGACACCTGCTGAGGGGGACTCGGATCAGGGCGCTGCTGCAGTGCGACCAGCCGTGGTGTGCACCCGCCCCAGCAACCACTCCCCCCACAGATGGCCCAGAGGCTGGCGCTCCAGCGGCTGCTCTCCCTCCCCACGCGGGGGTCCCTGGCATCCCACGGCAGAGCCTTGGGTACCTCAGCTGGCCGCAGGAGCACTTTCAACGTGCAGGATGGCAGCGACTTCCAGGACCGTGTGGTGAACAGCCCCAAGCCCGTTGTGGTGGACTTCCATGCACAGTAAGTTCCGCCCATGGCTCTTGCACCCCTCTCCACCATCATCCGTGCAGGTGTGTCCCTGTGACTTTCCTGATGTGGTCCCACTCTGGGCACACCATGGAGGAGCATGCTTGAGGGCTTTCCAAACTGTGGAGTCTCATGTTAAAAGGCGCTTCTGCCCATCAGGCTCAATCCATGAAGATTCCCCTCAGAGCCAAACCCTGCAACAATGTCGAACAGGAGTGCCAGGAAAAAATTCCCCGGGGTGGCATAGCTGCACCTTCCAGGTGCTCAGGTGTCACCCCAGCTGCAGTGTTGCATCATCCTACAAAAGGTGCCTCAGGAAAAAGCTCTGATATTTGCCCTATTTGGCTTTATGGATGAAATGTCCTCTTAGAAACATTAACGTTTGTTAACGGCCCCAGAGAGCTCTGCACTTGCCATGCCTCACTGTTGTTATGGTGTGTCATTCCATGTTTCTTAAAGCTGCGTGGTTTTGAGGCTCTTTATAGCAAATGCCTTTATGTGTTAATAACAGCCGTGTGACACCAATGACAGCAATTCTCATCAATAAAAATGCTGTCATCACCTGCCAGTAAAAATATTCCTAAATGTTATCTGCTCTATTAAGTCTATTAACAATACTGATTATCTTTGGGTTTTTCATGTATCTTCATAGTCCTCCAGTACTGTTATGTGAGCCTGTTATAGCCGATTTGGGGCAAACAGAAGACAAAACAGCCAAAAAACTTCTGCTCTAGATAAACCAACCGGCAAACCAAAGTGAGCATTAGCTGGGATCATCCAGGAAGGAGAAGACAGTTAAGACAAGCTTCAGTTGAAGCCTGAAACCAGATACAGAGCTTCCTTAACCTTTGACAGCTCCTTTGTGAGAGCTCCTTTCTAAGCTGTGGTTCAGGAATTGTATTTCCAGGCTGGCTCTAAGTGGCAATGGTGCCAAAGGCACTGGTGTACCAGCATGCCTTCCATGGCTGCACCTGCCTCTCCTAATGTCCTCTCTCTTTTCTTGCTCCATCAGGTGGTGTGGTCCCTGCAAGATCCTAGGCCCCAGGTTAGAGAAGCTAGTGGCCAAGCTGGAGGGGAAGGTGCTGATGGCCAAGGTGGACATTGACGATCACACAGACCTTGCTATCGAGTATGAGGTAGGAGATGGAAGAGCACAGACGTTCTTTAGCTGGCAGTGCAAAAGTGCCTCCCTGGGGAGAGCTGTGCCTACACAGCAGCAGCATTGGAGGGGAGGGGAAGCCCAGAGCCTGCGGGTTCCTGATCCATTGGGTCACTTTTCAGTAGGTGGATTTTGCTGTTTGGCTCTGCTCCAGCTCTGCTGGTCATGCCCAGCATCCCCACCTCTAATTCTGCAGGGAGGTGTTCTCTAGGCCTTGCGGGTGTCTCTCGGTGTAAACACTTCCCTGGCCTTCAGGAGCCTGGAGCACACACAGCATTTTGCTGCCAGCTGGGGCTGCTCAGGTGCAGGGCAAGAATATGAAGTGACAATGTGTAACTGCTCTTCTGTGCTACTGAAAGTGGTTCTTTGTGCAACCAGCCTGTCCTCTCTTTGTTCAGGAGTCTTCCTTGTTCAGGATCTCTAGCTGGGCCCCATCCTTGAGTTGCAGCACGGGGAGACACAGTGAATTTTGTTTGGACAGGTAGAAGCCAGGTCAGAAAAAGCACATAAACAACAGGAGCACGTGTCCTGCTCTTGAAAGATGATGTTGGTGCTTACACTGGTGCATGACATTACTGCTGGGTTTGTTTCCTCTGCTGCCTTTCTCCCAGGAAGCAGCAGAATGACTGGAGAAGGCCATGGCTTTAGTTTACATGATTCATTTATTTGTCCCCTCTGTCAATGATTAGGTAGTTTAAGAAACACAAAAGCCGCTCTGAGGGCCATGGTTGCCTCTGTTGTCTCTCCTTGTAAACAACCACTCTTCACAGGAAGTTGGGGCATCCTGCTGTTATGTTTTACAGGGGGAAAATGTGCTTCATTTTCACTTGGGTATCATGCAGATGGATCTGCTCCCCCTCTGCAGATGAGGTCCTGCTCCCAGGGTGACAACTAGCACAGCAAGCTCCTCAAGCTGCCCCGAAAAGTGTGAACCATCTCCTGAGCAAGCTGTCATTTTGTTGAGTCTGGAGAAGATGCTGTGTGCCGTTCCCGCACCCTGCCGAGACAGGAGACAGAAGTGGAAACAGCTTGTTCCCTCCTACTCTTTCTCCAGGGAGACCTTTCTGCCTGTGCTTGCCCACACAGCTGGTGGCCACAGTCATGACTTGCAGTTCCCACAAGCTCAGCATGAGAGCCTCTGGTGCTCTCCAGGGTGGAGACATGCTGGCAGATACACCCCAGGCCAAGGAAGATGGCTGGCTCCTGAGCAGGGCTGGCTGCTGCAAGCCCAAAAGGTTGCATAGCTCAGAGGGTGCTGGTGAGAAGTTGAAGAGGATGAGGTGGTTTTAGCGATGATCTAGAAGTGTGTGAATTCTAATTGATGCAGGGAAAGCTCTGGTAGCAGCCACGCTAAGGAGAAGAGAATAGAGATTATTAGCTCAACTCACGTATTGTTCCAAGCCTTCCAGTAGATAGAATTAGCTGGGATTACAAGAGCATAATCTCAGATGAGTGGAAAACGACAAGCAGGGTGTGTGCATGCAGAGGAAGGTCTGTGAAAAGAGGCTGAAAGTCCCAAGCTGTTCAGGTTTGATGACGTGCTGCATGTCCTCTCCCCACGGGTGCTGAGGGAGCACTGCCTACGGTGTCTGTGTGCAGGTAGGACTGAGGCTGCAGGGAAGGGTCACCTTCTAGCAGTTCGTTCTGGAACCTTATATACAAACACGATGAAGTTTGTCTTTTGCAAGAGGCCCTCCTCCGCTTTTGGAGTGGTGTGTGTGTGTCTTGTCTTGGCCATTATCCCTGTGGCTAAAACACCATCCCTAGACAGAATTTTCTGCTCAGATCTCTGTAGTTTGGAGCATCCTTTCCCCAAGACAGAAGTTTGGTTCATGTGCTGAGCATGTGCTTGGTTTTGCTTCATCTTCCGGGAAGTTGCCGTGTAAGGAGAAGTGTAAGGGCTGATGGGAATACACGGAGTAGAGATCTAAGAGGGACCAAATAGAGTGTTTGTGAGAAATCAGGAAAACCAAAGGTGGTATTTAGGAGAGGTCGGAGAAAGTTTGTTTTAAAGCCATTCCGTTGGGGATCAGATGTCTGCGTGCTGAGGAAGTCTTTGGGGGTTTTCAGTGTCCATGCCACCCCCACAACTCCTTCGCTAGCTGCCAGGAAGTCTCGCTCTGTGTTTATTCCCCTGCCCACGCACACACGCAGCCCCCAGTTTGCTGCCTGCTTGCACAATGTCCTCTTCAGCAGCCTTCTTGGAGCAGGGGGAGGCAGCGGGAGGGGGAGACCCCCTGGAAGAACCGAGGAATGCTGGCACATTCCTTTATACAAGCGGCTGTCTGCCCTTGGCTCTCAGCCATCCCAGCTTAGCACAAAGCACGGATGCATTTCTTGCATCTAGGAATGTCCCCAGTGCCCTTCCCTGTCCTCTTATGCCCAGCACAAAAGTGCTTGCTCTGGAGACTCTCTGTTTTATCTAATGCCTTTCATCTCTGGTTGTGGCCTTTCTCCACTGCTCCAGCCAGCTCCTGACCTCTCGCCTCAAGAGCAGAAAGGGGGAAGAAGTACTTTTGTTTATCTACAGTCTCTTAAAATTCTTTAGATTCATCTCTTGCCTTAGCCAGTTGCCTCTGTGTGTGGTAGGGCAGTGTGAAAGGGCAGCCCCTTCTCTGGCCACTCTGGGTGGGGAGCTCAGGGGAGCTGCTGGGTACAGAGATGGTCATTCATCAATGGAGCTCCATCCTGTTACCTCCTCACTCAGAGGCCTGGATGAAATCCTTCCTTCTGCTCTGTTGCATGGCATCTGAGTTTGTATAAAAGTTTCAGATGGGAGAGAATTCCCTTGGTATGGGCGTTGCCAGGAATAACCTGGATGGCCACGTTTGTTTATTTATCTGTGTGGTCAACACTAATCAAAAGCAGACTGATTTTTTTTGTAGAAATGCTCTTTAGGGAGGAGGAAAGTTTGTTTAGGTTCAGTGCAGATGGGACCCAAAAAAAATGGGGGAAAAAAAAAGAAAAAATGCCCTCAACTTTGCATTCTAGAAATTCCCATGACATTTGCTTCTCAACCAGCAAAACAAAGTACATGCTCCATTAACAGGCTGCCCTCACTGCAGCTGGCAGGAAGGAAGCTGACAAAAACATTGTGTTTTCTGAGCAGAGGAAAGTTGTTCTGTGCCTTCCACTCTTTCTTGGGATTTGCTCACCAGCACAAAGAGGGAAAGAGACAGAGGGATTGAGACCATGTGAAGCTCATGGGTGCACTGGTCAGCCTGCAGGTCCTGGCAAAATGGTGTTGGCTGCTTCTTGGAAGCATAGAGCTTCCATGTGTTGCCTATTCCTCACTCTGGCCCTAATAGGGACCAGCTCTTCTTTTTTTTGATGGGACTGGAGCAACTCTGTTCAATATGGACCCACTCTGCAAACCAGAGGGAGTCTCAAGGAGAGGTTTGCCCTTCTCGGGGAGGGGCAGCTGAGTGCAATGCATCCTTTGTTTCTCCTAAAATCGCAAGAGAATGTGTTGGCACCCTGGTCAGTGCTGGGGCCCAAGCCCTCTGGATCTGCTCCGTGCAGTCACTAGGAGGAGCTGAAGATTGTGCATTGAGAAGCCCCGACGCTCCCATCCCTTCAGATGAGACTGCACAAGCCCTGAAGGACACTGGGGAGCCACGCTGGACTGCCGGCTGGGACTGGGTGGGAAAGGAAGACAAAATGTCCCTTTCATCTCAGGCTCCCAGTGGGAGAAAAGCCAGCCCTCTGATGGGTTTCCAAAGGGATTTGCAGATCTTTGTTGGCAGCAGGGCTGGCAGTGCACATGGGAAGGCCCCACAGGCCAGGGGAGGGTCAGCAGGCAAGATAAGGACAGGATGTGTTTTGAGGGGGAGACTTTGCAGAGATAAGGGCATCAAAGCCTCGGGGTCAGAAATGTGATCAGACCTTCCATTGCTGCAGTTCTCCAAGCTCTGGTTGTTCCTTCCTTCAGTCATGTCCCTGGGGTCTCTGCTGTCACCAGTCAACCAGCAAGTCCCTGGGGAGTGTTGTCATTTCCAACACTTCTTCTCTTGGATAATTCCCAGAAACCTTTGTTCTGAGCTATAAAAGCAGTGCCCAGAGCAGCACAGCTGCCTGCTAGCTCCGGTCAGAGGGACTTTTTCACTTTTTACCTAATTGTCAGGGATCTGCAGTGAATGGCTACTTTATGACCAGATAAACCACTAAAAACAGAAGTGGGAAAGGAAGAAGGCTTGGAGGGGATTGTCATTGCCATAATATGATGGGAGCAGGAAATCTGCCTGTGCAGTGGTGGGATGGGTTAGGATTAGAGTTCCAGTCCTGTCTAGAGAAGAATACAGGTCCAGTCTGATGCTACCCTAGCCATAAAATATCCAAAGGTCATAATGTCTGAGATGTCCTAGATGTATTCATTTATGATGGGACAAAAGGAAAGGAGAAGAAGCATTTGTATGGAGATGGTTTTTGTATTAGCTGTGGTTTTGTCTTTAAAAATTTGGTTGTATTTAAACTCAAAAAGCAGCTCAGCCTTGTATTGAGTAGAGCAGTGTAAGTCAGTGCAGAGAAGGGGAACATGGAGCTCAGCTGGCCTGTTTTGCTAGTGGACATCTTACCCTAGAGCAGTGCATGCTCAGCTCCCTTGTAGCCACTTACTTAGACTTCCATTGGGAGACTAGGTGCAGGTGGCTTCCTGCAGGCTTTGCTCACCTGTCTCCCCATTTCTCTTGCCCCAGGTGTCAGCAGTGCCAACTGTGCTGGCTATGAAGAATGGAGACGTTGTGGATAAATTTGTGGGCATAAAGGATGAGGATCAGCTGGAGGCATTCCTCAAGAAACTCATTGGAGCCTGAAGTAAAAGGGTGGCTGTACCTCTGCCTCTGGAAACATCCATTTTGTGCATTCCTTGCCTGGGAGAGCTGAGGGCAGGTCAATTGCTTGCCCTGTACAACACAGGGGTTTCTTCTGTTACGGTGTTCTTAGAAGATGGAAAATGTTGTAATCCTTCCCTCCTTCTTCCCCTTCTCACGAGCAGCAGTAGCTGTAAAGGGTGCTGAGGAGCAGGGCTGCTTATTCTCAAAACAGGGAATGTGGCTGGAATTAGGAGCCTGTGTTTATCAGCCAAGAGCTGACGTGCAGAGCTGCTGCTGCTGAGTTAAGAGGAGGAATGTTTTTGTCTTTGCTTCACATCTGATAGCCCAGAGCAGAGGGCAGCTGCTCCCTTCAAGATGATGGTACATACCTGCCCTGGGTGGGTTCGTTTAAAGCTGAGAATGCCTCTACCTTGTCCATGAAACCTGTCTCTTTCTTCCTCTGTCCTTGTGTTGCTGGGACAGGTACAACTCCTCCACAAATCTATGGGCTCCCAATTTAATTTTATAAGAGAAAATAGGGAGAAGTATTTTATGGATCTCCTTTTGTATGTCTGCAGTGGAGAACTTTTATCAGTCACTGCTGTCTAGCCGGGAGAGTAAATCGATTCTCACAAATCTGTCTGTCCAGAGAGATGAGTTGGGAGTATCAGCAGCACAGTTTCTAATGATGGGTTGGGAAAGTGTAGGTTATGACTTGATCCCTACTAAAAGGTCATGTGTTGAAAAACAAAATAGGGGATTCCTTCCATGGGGCTTTCAGTGCTGCCTGTAGGACCTCCTTTGTGTGCTGCTGGATCCAGGGGGCCAGAGGGAGGACTCACCTCTCATGCACAGATGAGCAGCTGCTCACTGCACAAAAGGAACCTGAGCTGTGCTCACTCCCCCTGTGCTTTTCTCACCCCTCCCCTGTCTGTGGAGCCTGAGAGCCTCCCTCTCCCTGTTGTGAATAATTAAATGTGTTCACACAGGTGAGCTCTGCCAGAAGGCAGCTTTTTGATTGCTACTGCCCTGACCTTTGGACTAAGGGTGCCAGCTGTGGGCCTTCTATCTGAGCAGCCTTCACCCCTTCCAACCTCTTTCTTCTCCTCACATACACCTGTTTCCTGTCAACCTGGCTTCTGAGTCCTCCCAGCCTCCTCCTGTGCTTGTAGGCAGAGTACAACACTAGCAGTGGTTACTGCTGTACTGTTTAATTCCAGCTTGCTTATCTAAGCTGCATGAGAACATTGTAAGTGCTTAATAACCATGTACAAGCTGCTTTTTTTTTTTTTTTTTTTTTTTTTTTACCACAGCTTCTGTTTCCTTCAGTCACTTTAAATCTGCTTTGGCTTTGCTCCATTTCACCTCCCTGGCATATGAGCAGCCAGGTAATTTTTTTTCTGCACCTCTGCAGTAATGATTTATGACCTTTGAAGGAGCCAGGGGAGTGGTGATCCAAGTCCTGCTGCAACTGCAGTGCTGCTGGCTGGCATCAGTGCTCCCACCTGCTCCTGTCACACTGGAGCCTGGGCCATGGCACAAGGTGGTACTGGCCCCCTGAGGTGGGTGCCTCCCATTTGGGCTGGGCTGATCTCACCGTTGGCACGCTGCTAGAGGTGATGTCACTTGGATGTAATCTGGTAAAGAACTGTTGGTCAGTTATGATCAATAAAAACTGGCATTTCATTTTATTCTGGAGATTACATAGGCTGTGGTGCTCCTGATCTCATGTTTCAGGCTGGGCAATTTCCTCTGCAGTTTCAGTGTTCCTGCTCAGTAAACACTTCTAGTAAAGACTCCATTTCCCTGCACAAGCAGGAAAGGTAGGGGAACAGCGTCACATACCCAACAATAATCAACTTTCTTGCCTTACCATCCTACAGAACAGGAAAAAACAGAGTGACTTTGCATTGTGTAATTAAGGGGCAGTATAAAATAGTTATTTTACTGCTTCCTTCTAAGGAAAAGCAGAGCTAAAGTGTCACTCAGCTGTTAAAGTGCCAGCACGCTTTAGGGTGCATTATGTGAAAGCCACAACTGTTTCTTAGAGATAAATGCTGAAGACCCACGTACCTGGTGCCCTGTGGGAGTCCTTCAGAACAGTGTGGACAGTAGGAGGAGGGGTTTGAGGACAGCTTGAAATTCCTCAAGCACTTTGCAAGGTTTCCACCACAGGACAAGACTCAGAGCAAAAGGGTATTTTCTGTGTCAGGTTTTTAATTCAGCTCCCTATTTGCCAACTGCTGGGGAAGGCTTCAGGGATTCCCACAGTGGTGTTAGTAAAAGGAGGTGCAAGCAGGAAGCAGTACCAGCAGTGTGTTTGTGTAGTGGTTAAAGAAGAGCTGCACAGCAATTTTCATGCCACCTGAATGTGATGTTGGTCTTGCCTGATTGAAGGGAGCTGAAGCAATGGGTAATTCCTCAGCAGTAGCTGTTTTTTCCATGTCAGCTGGGAAAATGTTTCTCCAGCGAGGATGCAGTTTGTTTTCCCTTTTGGAGTTAAGCACTTTGAATCCTCCTCTGATCTGTCAAGCATTTTCTCTCTCCTACCTAAGCCTGTCTATTTAACAGTAGCTTTCTCAGCTCTTAATGTTCCTTGTTTCTATTTTAAGAGGACAGGGCAGTCAGTGCCTTCCCAAGGGGAGCAGTGCTCAGCTAAGCCCGCTTCTCTTCCCTGTGCATGTTTTGAACCCAACCAAGGTTCCCCCAAGGGTCAGGCACAGTGCCTCTGTCCTCACAGTCTTGTCCAAGGCGCCTGATTCCAGGCAAGCAGAGGTTTTCCATTCGTCTCTGTTGGCTTTACACTTGCATCAAGCCCTGAAACAGCTGCTCCTTTCCCCAAGATGTTTATGCCTGCCTGCTGAACTCCAAGTTAATCTCCAGCTGCTCTGGCTCATAGTGAGTATCTGAAAGAAGGGAGGGAGAGCTTTGTTGTGTACTCTACTAGAGGTGCTATGCCAGCACCAGCTTCAAGGGATGGTCGAGGATGGAAAACTCCAGTTGCTTGGCTTGCAGCACACAATGGGCTGTGTATATGTGGCCCTCTGAAGGGGATAGGTTGAACGAGTTTGTTTCCAGTGAGGTCTGACCTTGGCAGCCGGGCCAGTAAATCCTTTGCTTTATCAACAAATACGATTCCTCCTGTGCAGAGAACAAAACAAAGACCAGCTCCATGTCAACAGGGAAATGGCCTCCACTGACGCTGCCTTAGGCAGGGCCTTTCACTAGCCCAGCCAGGCTTTTGGCCTGAACAGTTTGTTAATCACTTTGAGCTTCCCCTCACACACCTCGTTTTTCTCATCCAAGTAATTATAGGATTCAGACAGAATCAGCAATTAAATTCTCCAGCCCTGTTAGGCTGTTAGCAATTTTAAGCTCAGTGTTGTTCAAAACTACTGCTAAATGGTGGCTAAGTGCTTGCTGTGACTTTCCTGCAAGTTAAAAAGTAACAGCAGCTGCAATAGTCTAGTCAATCAAAAGATAAGATAAAACTACCATAGGCATGATTTCCAAACCAAAACCAGACTAGATGGCCTGTTACACAGTCTCTTGTCCTCCTTACCTGCCCCTGGCAACACACCTGGGCTCAAGCTCTGGTTTAACCCTAGTTGACAAATAAGTACTGGGCAGCTGCTCACTCACACCTATCCTGGTGGAGGAGAAGAATCAGGGACAAAAAAAAGGCAAAACCATAGGTTGAGACAAGAGTAGTTTAATAATTTGAATAAAGTAAAATAATAACACAATAATACTTGTAATGAAAAGGAAAACTACAGAAAGAAAGAAAATACAAGAGGAACAAGTGATGCACAGTAGAATTTCTCACCATTTGGCTGATTGATGCCCAGCCTATCCCTGAGCAGTGATTGGTTCCTTCCAGGTAACTCCACCAGTTTATATACTGGCATGATGGGCATAGGGCATGATGTCCTATGACATGGAATATCCCTTTAGCCATTTCGGCTCAGCTCTACTGGCCATCCTCCTTCCCAGCTTCTTGTGTAGCTCCTCACTGTCAGAGCATAGGGAACTGAAAAGTCCTTGATTTAAAGCAAGCACTGCTTAGAAAGAAGTAGAGCATTGCTACATTATCAGTATTATTCTCATGCTAAATCCAACATACAGCACTGCACTGGCTGCTTGGAAGAAAATTAACCCTGTCCCAGTCAAAACCAGGACACTGTCCCTCACACACAGAGGTGGTGTTCTGCCATGTCTTGCTGCTCTTTTCAAGGATGTTGGGTACCCTTGTGAGCTTTGTGGTTTCTCTGCCTCTGCAGCTCTGACTTCAGCAACACTTTTCTCCATAAAGCCTTTCACAGGCAAAACCCAAAGATTGCAGCTCTCGGGAGAGTGATAGCCACAGGCTGGATGGAGTTTGGAGGGGGCTGCTGTGCTGAGCCATGCCTGGTTGCTTTTTCTCTCTGTGCATTCTACCAGCCAGGGGAGGATGGAGGCAGGAGCAGAAGGGGAAGCCCCAAATTTCTTACACCAGAGGAGCCAAATGGGTGAAAACAAGAGGCCTACAGGGAGAGATTAAAAATGCATCCACCCACATCCCCGTGGGAATGGAGTGAGGAGAAGCCTTGTGGCTGCCTTCCTGGTGGCATGGGGTCCCTTGCCCAAGGGCGGGCAGTGAGACAGGGAAACATCCTACAAGTAGAGGCCAGAGGGGGAAACTGGAGCTGCTCGTGTCATGAGGGTGGAGGACAGCTGGAAGCTGCAGGCAACAGGGAAGCACCCAACTTCCCACCTCAGATCGACTTCCTAGGCTCTCATGATCGATCCAAAAGTCACAGTAAAAATGCACTAAAATTGATGGGTTTTCTCCATGGCCTACATGAAGTAAGGTCTGTTAAATAAGATCCCTACAGGTGTATGTGTATATATACATGTTTATCTACTCCCATACTCTTGTTCTCTGTTGTGGAGAGTGCCAGGAGTTTCTGTGACTCACAGATGTCCCCAGCAGCCACAGCTGTTGACAGAAAAGGACTGGCTCTCCCACCCAAGGTAAGGCTAAGTGCCCTGTGCCCTTCTCAGCCTCTACACGCTTCTCTTCACTCTGCTGCTAAAGGCACCTTGGCTCTATCTCTCTTAGAGTGGACAAGTGGTTGAGCAATTTCCTGAAAAACAGGAAATTTTTGCAGTGAGAGTCCTCAGAATTACTGACTTCAAGTCATCCAGGGGGTACAACATATACCAGAGATTTTGGTGCTTTCCAGAGACGGTGACCTCTGGTCATTCACATGGCTGCAGCTCCTCTGTGCCAGTCCCGCACAGTGAGAGGGTGTTTGTCCCGGCGGGCTCTGCACATGGAGCTTCACGGCCTTGGGAAGGAGAGGAGCTGAATCCCCCAGGGTTGCTGTCTCACTCCATCATCAGGCAGTAACACTTCCCTGCAGTGCCCATAGCCATGGGTGCAGGGACAGCCCGGCTCCTTTCCCTGCAGGTGGCTTTACCTGCGGGGCCATGGCACAGCCATGGGTCTGGCTGTCGCAGCAGCCGGGATAGAGATGGAGTGATGCAAGCTCCAGCACGCCTGCTGGTATTTATATAACATCGTTTTACTTTAATCCGGCTTTTTAAGTAAAGTGTCAAAGCCTTTCTGTTCACTTGTTCACTAGGA